AAAGCTGGAAAGTAAGACTGGTTTCTTGTGGCGCCCGCGTAACCCTTTCACCCAGGGTCCCCCCTCACCACCTCTCAACAACTCTCTTCCCGTTTATCTGGCCAATGCTCCGTGAAGTGTTTATCTGGCCACTGGATATAAATCATTTATTGCCCCACCCCCTCCTCCACACCACTTTGAGCGATTGCCACTTTCCCGACATAAGCGGCTGCGGCTGGAACTACGGGGTGCTACAGGGTGCCCAGGTTTACCAGGTTGCATCCACTAGGCGCAACAGTCGCCTGAAGACCGGATGAAAGCAGCGAAAACTCCTGGCACTTTTATCGATCCAACAAGAAAGCACCAGCACCCACCCACCATTGGCGGACCGGGCAGGATTACGTCGTTATGTGGCGCCGGGCCTGAAACAGCCAGCCGTGGATTGGGGGTTGGAGGTTTGGGGGTCAGGGGTCGGGAACTACGGGGAAGCGCTCCAAATTCGGAGCATGCGCACTTGCCACCAGCAGCGTCGCAATAGACGCAATAGACACGAAAGCACAAAAACACAAAACATCGCGGAATGCACTTTACATAACTCGGATTTTAAATTGTCGCATGCGGCATCCTTAGACTTTGGGTTCACACACTTGGCTAATTCTGCAGTGAATTTTTGGGTACAGAATATACAGAATACACTACAAATCCACCCATTGCATACATAACTTTCAGTACAGAGAAAAAAAAAATAGTGGTAGTTTCAACTTTACTATTAAGTGATGATCATAAAACACAAAATTGCATATATATATATGTACATAGATCATTGCTTATTTCAGTCAATTAAAAAACGTTTCCATCGATCTGATTAGACTTTTTTTTATTGGTTTTCGAACATCATCTGCCCCTGTTAATTTATAGCAACCCAAATTAGATTGTTCCTCGAACTATAATACATAAATTTCTGATTTCAAGCACCCAAAATGGTTGTAGTAGTTAAATGGCTATCCAAAACTAATCTGAGGAACATCATTTTGGTACGGTGTAAATGCATCTGCCCTATCAGAATGAAATAAGTCCCCATTAAGTTACAGCAAATGGACTTACTGGCATTCGTTCATGATCTCCTCCTGGCTGCGCACCTGCACTGGAGCCAGCTCCTCGACGTTCTCCTCGTAGTTGCCGAAACACTTGGTTATTTTCTCGTCGAAGGTGTTAACCAGGTCCTCCAGACTACCGCCGAAAGTCTCCGTGAAGTTGTCCACATGGTCGGCGCCGCCGGCGGTCAAGGAGCGCTTCTCCAGGCCATCCAGACCCGATCCGGCGGCCTCGCCCGGCACCAATCCCACATCGGACAGGCCCAGGTCTATGACCGATCCGCCGCCCTGCAGCGTGTTGCAGTTGGGGCTGATGGAGCCAGCTCCTCCGGGCCCTCCTCCCCCGTTCTTGCTCACGTGCGCATCGCGGACCGCATCCTCCAGGAGGCGCAGCTTGGCCGCATCCGGCTTGCCACCGGAGGAGGCGGAGGAATCCTTGAGATTCAGGTTGAGCGTGTCGTTGAGGGCGTTCTGATTCGAGATGAAGTCACAGCCGCCCCACTCGTCCGTCTCCTCGAACTTTGCCAACGGAGCTTCGAATTTTAGCTCGGCCATTTTGGTGCCGAGGTCACGCATGGCACGCGAAAAGGATTCTCTCAAGGATTCGGATTGCCCTCCGATTCCGATTGCGATGGCGATGGCGATTGGACTTTGGTGGGCAGTAGTAGCGTTTTGTATTAGCGCGCTTCCCTTATTTTCCTCACATTCACACACCCGCACACCGTTTTCCACCGACTTTTCCGTGCTGGCTGCAAATATGTTGCAACCCCTAATTCGGCTGGGAGTGGGTAGTCGTTCTCGGGGTTGAGCGGGGCTTTCGATTTCGACGGGGGAAGTGCCCCGGAACACTGGAGTCCGTACTGCGATTTCGGGCAACTCCAACTGGACTTATTCCGATTTGATTTTCAGGTGTCCTGCTTTTCTGTCCGCCAAACGAGCACAATTAACACTAAAACAATAAAAAAAACAAATCACACTAGCACTCAGTCGCGGCTCAGCTGCTCAAAATCTTTAGTTTGGTTTCTATTCTGTTTGTTAGCCTTTCGCTGGCGACTGCACTCCAATTGGATCTGACACAAACAACGCACAAATAGAGATGGCGAAACTTCGATGCCAACATCGATGTTTTCAAAACATCGGTTTCATCGATACTTGACGGGGCAATATCGATGTGTTCCCATCTCTAGTCTGATTTCCCACATTTTACACATTTTTTACGATTCCACTTTAGTTCTTGTACACCGAAATATATATTAACAATTTAGAAAATTATTCAAACACTTATATATTAACTGAACGCTAGCACAGCAATGTTGCAGTGTTAATTGATATTTGAATAATTCAAAGTACTATTTAGTACATTCATTTTAAGTAGAGGCGCAACCCCATATTTAGACACAACCCAAGCGTCATCAATATTTAATTCCAGTACTTAGTGGAGACTTACTTCGAAGTGTTAGAGATGGAAAAACTTCGATGTTTAAAAAACATGACTTGAATGATAAAAGTGCTGCCAGTTTTGTTTCTATCCCGTCAAATCTAACTTTTTTTAAGCTTGCTTGTAAATTATGAAAACAGCACTTTTGTCACTTTTTTTTCCCGTCAAAATCAGCTTTTTTTTCTATAAAAAGTTGGCAGCCCTGGATGATAGCATCGATGTTTCTCCACCCCTGCAAACTCCCGTTGGTGATTGCAAGATAGTCAATTACAAAGTGAATAAAACACAAAAATAAACGCTTTCCGTGGTGAATCGCGCAACGTGACTCCGGGGACACGAATGGCCAGCCGTGGGGCCGGCGCAGCGGTGGTGACGGCCACCTCGCTGACGGTGGAGACCATGACCATCACCAATGTGCTGACCACGGTGACATCGCTCCACTCGAACAGCGTCAACATCTCCAACAACAACAGTGTTGCAGGCGGAGGCGATGTTGCTGGGGGCGTGGCAGCGGTCCAGGCGGACGCTAGTAAGCCGATCTATCCGCGCCTGTTCAACCGCATCGTGCTGACGCTGGAGAACAGCCTGATTCCGGAGGGCAAGATCGATGTGACTCCGTCCAGCCAGGACGGACTGGACCACGAGACGGAGAAGGACCTGCGGATACTGGGCTGCGAGCTTATCCAGACGGCGGGCATCCTGCTGCGCCTGCCGCAGGTGGCCATGGCCACCGGCCAGGTGCTCTTCCAGCGCTTTTTCTACTCCAAGAGCTTTGTGCGACACAACATGGAGACGGTGGCCATGAGCTGTGTGTGCCTGGCCTCCAAGATCGAGGAGGCGCCGCGGCGCATCCGGGACGTGATCAATGTGTTCCACCACATCAAGCAAGTGCGGGCGCAAAAGTAAGTGATTGAGTTTGCCCAGTCCCACAGCCACTAATCCGCTTCCTGTCCTGTCTCGCAGGGAAATCTCGCCTATGGTGCTGGATCCCTACTACACGAACCTCAAGATGCAGGTGATCAAGGCCGAGCGGCGCGTCCTCAAGGAACTGGGCTTCTGCGTGCACGTGAAGCATCCGCACAAGCTGATCGTGATGTACCTGCAAGTGCTGCAGTACGAGAAGCACGAGAAGCTGATGCAGCTCTCCTGGAACTTCATGAACGACTCGTTGCGGACGGACGTCTTCATGCGCTACACTCCGGAGGCGATTGCCTGCGCCTGCATCTACCTGAGTGCCCGCAAGCTCAACATACCGCTGCCCAGCAGTCCGCCGTGGTTCGGCATCTTCCGCGTGCCCATGGCGGACATCACGGATATCTGCTACCGGGTGATGGAGCTGTACACGCGTTCCAAGCCGGTGGTGGAGAAGCTGGAGGCCGCTGTCGACGAGCTGAAGAAGCGGTACATTGATGCGCGCAACAAGACGAAGGAGGCGAACACGCCGCCGGCTGTGATCACCGTGGATCGCAACAATGGCTCGCACAATGCGTGGGGCGGCTTCATCCAGCGGGCGATTCCACTGCCCCTGCCCTCGGAGAAGTCGCCGGAGAAGGACTCAAGATCGCGTTCGCGCTCCAGGACGCGCACTCAGTCGCGAACGCCGCGCTCCCGATCGCCGAGATCCAGATCGCCGAGTCGCGAGCGCACCAAGAAGGCGCACCGCAGCCGCTCCTCCCGCTCGCGCTCCCGTTCACCGCCGAAGCACAAGAAGAAGTCGCGCCACTACTCGAGGTCGCCCACGCGCTCCAGTTCGCCGCACAGCAAGCACAGAAAGACGTAGGTTGCCACTTATATCCCAAAAGTTAATTTTAATTCAGTTGCAGGGCAAAAAATAGGCTACTATCGGAAATTTTTTTTTAAACGATCGATTTATTATCTAAAAGTACATATATCCAATACATTGGGGTAACTTTTGTATTGAAAAATAATTACTAATTATGTAAAAAAATATGCGAAAGGAGATAATTTTTTTCTGATTTTGGGACCAGAATTCTGTAGAACTGGCTTATATGAAACAAAAAATGTCAATAGATTTAGGTAAATAACACCATAAACTAGTCTTTAATTGAAGGATTTTTAAAAATATGCATTTTAGACAAAATGGTTAACTATCAAACTTATTTTTCCGATTACCACAAAAAATATTGATGTTTCAATATACAACCAATTGTTGTAATTCCTACAGGAAATCCTCGCGAGAACGCTCTGAATATTACACAAAGAAGGACCGGTCCGGGAATGCCGGCAGCAGCAACAACGTAAGTGATGGCGACAAGTATCGGAACTCCGGCTCGAACTCCGGCAAGCACAGTCGCTACTCCTCCTCTTCCTCGCATCGCAACAGTGGCGGCGGTGGAGAGGGCAGAGGAGGTGGAGGCGGTGGAGGAGGAAGCGGGAACCACGGCAGCCGAGGTGGCCATAAGCACCGCGATGGCGATCGCTCCAGGGATCGCAAGCGCTAGCGATTGACAAAACAAACAGACACAACACTCCTTTTCTTTTCATTTTATTTCATTGCTTTGTATTTTTACAGATTTACAGATCATTTCTACCGATTAGTTCGATTTAGTAATTGTAATGTATAATGTAAAAACGAACTCGGGTAAACAATAAATGTAACTCTTCAATCAAGCAGCTGCCTGCCACTTCCACTCGGGTCGACCGGCTCCCCATCTTTGGGCAACACTTTGCACATATCACAGCAATCCGACAGAGAAAGAGCAGGCGAAAGAGAAGGCAGTCAGTCGAGCGGCGGTCGCAGTGCAGAGTCTCCGGACAAACGACAAAAGCATTATCCTCGAAAGCCGTGCCCTTGCCGCCTGGGATTATACATAAAATGTTGAAGCTGGCAAAGGAATCAATAGCTGGCTAGTCCAGCGCAAGATCTCTACTCTAAGACTAGGAGGCTTTCATCTAGATGGTTGTCGCGTAGGACATCAGGGCGACCTGGGGATGCGACAGCGACACGTCGCGGAACTCCTGCGTGAAGGAGAGGATGAAGAAGCTGAAGATGGTGGCAATGATCCACTCCGAAATGGTGCTGACCACGTGGAAGTACCAGCCGCCGTCCGAGGGGTACCTAAAATATTATATTAGTGAGTATCTGCCAGCATTGATGGCTCAGCATTGTCTGAGGAGGACCCACCACTTCCGCGGATTCTGTCCTTTGAACAGGATGTGCGACATCACCCCGGTGACCGCCAGCAGGATGAACAGGATCGTGCAGACCACGGACATGCCCAGCCGCAGGTGGGCGAAGATGCGAGAGCCCGACATGGGGAAGATCAGATACGAGATCAGCGCCTGCATCCAGAAGTACAAGGTGCCGCATCCGAAGCAGCAGAAGGCCCCGATGAAGTGCACAATCCGCACGTTTGTCTCCTGGAAGTTGCCCACAAAGCTGATGCCCAGGCAGGACACCAGTCCGAACCACAGAGCCAGCCGGTTCTGGCGGAGCACTGAAGCGTCCAGATCGGGATGGTGTTCGTACAGCTGCAGCACATGGCGGTAGCGCACATAGATGGTGATTCCCACTGCATAGAACGAGCGAATACATTAGATTGGTAGCAACACAAAGCTGCTGCATCCCATCAGCAGATGACTCATCATCCACTGGAGATTGGAGACCGGAAGCCGGGCGAAATAAAGGGGACTCACACAGAACACTGCCGATGTTGATTAGCTGCCCAAACACGCAACTCTCCGGCGAATATGTGGCTGCATCGCTAATGTAGGGCACCGTGGGCACCACATGTCCCTCCAGCACGGCAAAAATGTATCTAAGGAGGGGGGAAAGGGGAGTAGATGCCATTGGTTGCGACGCACAAACAGATAAAGGCAAGAACTAGCCACTTACGTGCCAATAAAGGTCACCTGGAAGATCAGGTACGTGGCCACCGGCAGCAGATAAACCCGCGACATCGCGATAAGATTGCGGTGGATGCGGGCGGGTGTGGGCGATGTACTCCAGCAATGACCACAACAAACTTAATTCTCCAATTGCGCTGCAATAAAAACAAACCGAACAAGAGAACGAAATGTTTGGGTCTATAGCAGTGCTGTCAACTTGGGTAGATTTTAGCTGCTACATAACCGAGTTATATACAGTTTAGCTATTTCGGTTGGTATTTAAAAAGTCAACAGGGGAACTCCCTTAATGTTATGGAATATTTGTGTCTGAAAAAAACAACAACATATATATACAATATATATTATAATAAAAATATTTTTGTTTGTTTTGTTGTTTTGTTTTAACTTTTTATTTACAAATTTGACGCGACGTAATTAAATATAAATAATTTTCGTGAATGGACAAGCTACCTTCGTGGCTGCATAAAATAAAGATGTTTGCCCATCTCTATTAAGCGATTATCTGGAAAGCAACGGTTGTTTTCCAAGATGCAGAGTTCCAATTAGTAAATTTGTGAGGGAAAAATGAACTTTGAAACCGTTATAGATGCTGTCTAAAATTACCAGCTGTTGCTTGCTACTGATTATGTTCGCCTGGTGTCTGAAATCCACAAATCTTTGAATTTGAGAGAGCCTCCATTTGGCGGCAAAGCATTTTGTCAAGGAAATTGTGAGATTTCAGATTTTAAGCACCAGGCGAACAGAAACACCCAGTAGGTTTCCAACGACCAATTTTTTCGTTTTGTTAGGGATGTGCGCGTGCATGTTTATTTCGGTACTCCAACAAAAAATACAAGGGGCTTTCGTTCCTTTTTCGTGCCTAACGTGCCAAATTCGTGACACGAACAAGGAAACAAGAAGTTTGCACATCTTTTAATTAGGCTATTAGGCTTTAAATTGAGAAGCAGCGGTTGTTTTCCAAAACGCCGAGCTCCTATTAGTCAATCGGTGAGGGGAAGCCTGCACTTGGCGGCCATTTTGAAGAAAATAACCGTTATAGATGCTGCCTAAAATTACCAGCGTTAGCTTGCTACTGATTATGTTCACCTCGTGTCTGAAATCCAGAAATTGTTGAATTCGAGAGAGCCACAGTTTGGCGGCAATGCAATTTGTCAAGAAAATTGTGAGATTTCAGATTTCAAGCACCAGGCGAACAGAAACACCCAGTAGGTTTCCAACGACCAATTTTTTCGTTTTGCTAGGGATGTGCGCGTGCATGTTTATTTCGTTACTCCAACAACAAATACAAGGGGCTTTCGTTCCTTTTTCGTGCCTAACGTGCCAAATTCGTGACACGATCAAGGAAACAAGAAGTTTGCACATCTATATTTGGTGTTAAATTGAGAAGCAACGGTTGTTTTCCAAGACGTCGAGCTCCTATAGGTTAAATAATGAGGGGAAACCTGCACTTGGCGGCCATTTTGAAAAAAATAACCGTTATAGATGCTGCCTAAAATTACCAGCTTAAGCTTGCTACTGATTATGTTCGCCTGGTGGCTGAAATCCAGAAATCGTTGAATTTGAGAGAGCCACAGTTTGACGGCAATGCACTTTGTCAAGGAAATTGTGAGATTTCAGATTTCAAGCACCAGGCGAACTGTAAGTCGTGAGAATGCCCCTTACAATACCAAAAAGTATATTTTCAGTATATTGTCGGACGTCTCGCAGCGACCGCAACGTGCTGTTTTGCCCGCTCTCTCAGTCATTGCCTCTAACTCCGCTCAAGCTATGGTGACCACCGGTGGGCAGGCACAGGATCGGGAGCCGGATGTACTGGATCCCACGTCGGCGGTAACCGGACTGCCGCAGAAGCGCTTCTACCGCCAGCGTGCGCACTCGAATCCCATTGCGGACCACAGCTTCGACTAGTGAGTAGAATCTGGTGAATGCGGAAGCGGGAGGCCCTTTATTTCCAATATTATTCGTAGTCCCGCCCGCCCGGAAGATATGGACTGGCGCCTGCTCTATCCGAGCATCCAGCCGGGTCAGCAGGTGAGCTTCGCGGACATTGGCTGCGGCTATGGCGGCTTCCTGGTCACTCTGGGCCAGATGTTCCCCGAGAAGCTCTCCATCGGCATGGAGATCCGCGTGAAGGTGTCCGACTACGTGGTGGACCGGATTGCGGCGCTGCGACAAAAGGGCGGCGCTGTGGGGGCGTCATACCAGAACATCGCTTGCCTGCGAACCAATGCCATGAAGTATCTGCCCAACTACTTCGCCAAGGGCCAGCTGGAGAAGATGTTCTTCCTCTACCCGGATCCGCACTTCAAGCGCGCTAAGCACAAGTGGCGCATCATCAACCAGGCCCTGCTCTCTGAGTATGCCTATGTGCTGAGGAAGGGGGTGAGTTTTGGGCACAAACGAAGAGTAAACAGCGTAACCATATTCCCACCCAGGGTCTGGTGTACACCATGACGGACGTGGAGGACCTGCACAAGTGGATTGTGGCGCACATGGAGGAGCATCCGCTCTACCAGCGCCTCACCGAGGAGGAGGCGGTACGTCAACTGTAGCTCCTCCGGCAGCTCGATCACAAAGTAATGCTCCCCTTTTCAACCCACAGGAATCCGATCCCATCACCCCAAAACTCTACCAGAGCAGTGAGGAGGGCGCCAAGGTGGTGCGCAACAAGGGCGATCATTTCCTGGCCATTTTCCGGCGCCTCTAGGGCTCGCACATCGTATATTCTTTACATGTCTAGACACTATGATTAAGATTGCCGTAGATTAAAGACCCAGATTGTTAAAGCATCCGGTTGAGTTGTCCCAGGCCCTCGCAGGAGACCAGCGTCTGGCCGGAGGACTCCACTTTGACGTCGAACTGGACGCCCGACAGCTGCTTGGCCACATGGATGGCGGTGCGCGTGTGATTGGTCAGCGGCCCGGTGCGCATGCTGGAGCGGCCAACGGCGAGGGCCATGTAGATGATAAGTTGGTCCTGCATGTGGGCATCGACGCAGATCTCCTTGCGTATGTACTCGACCAGCTGGCAGGAGGCGTCCGAGCCGAGCAAGCGCCCATCGACTCGCTTCTCTCCCAGCGTGGCGGCGCCGAGGACACAGCCGCCGGACGTGTGGGCCGTCATCAGGATGCCGGCTCCGTTTTGGCGTGCCTTCTCCGGCAGGTGCTTCACTGCTTCGATGCTGCACATTTGGTGCGGCCACAGGCGGTGGATCTCGCGCTGTGCCGTCTGCTGCATGTCCGTGGCAATGGTCCTGGGCAGGCGACCGGCACAGAAGGCTACTCCGCTGACCAGCTGCAGGCGGCCGAAGTCCAGGAATTGTCCGGCTAGCAGCTTATCCACTGGCTGCACGTCCAACTGGCACCTGCCCTTGCCGCTCGGATAGAAGCCGTACTGCTGCACTTGTAGATCAAAGCCCACGCCAAAGTGTTTTAGGTTCGGCAGCAGCACCTGCTCCATGTACTCCACCTGGGGGGCGAAGGCCACGTTTGTGCCCCCGGTCACGTAGAGGCGGGATGGGCGTCCGGCAAAGAGCAGGACGGGCAGGGCCATCTGGTAGATCAGGGTGATGCTGGCCGCCGTCTGCGTGTCCACATGGTATGTGTCACCGCCAATGGAGCGCGGCGTGAACTCCACTTCGGTGGAGAGCAGCGTGTTGCCCACTACATCCGCGTTGGCGATGTCCCGGAGCAGGTTCAGTCCGTGCAGGTGCTGGTGCGAGAGTCCCGGCTTTGGACGATTGGCCCGGATCTTGACCACGCGCACCGGTTTGCCCAGGATGCAGCTGAGACTCAATGCGTTGCGCAGCACCTGTCCGCCGCCCTCCAAGTAGGAGCCATCGATCTCTACAAAGTCCTTTGCGTCCATTATCCGGTATATTTCTTGATAGGCAGGAAGGTTGTATTCCAGGTGCTTTGCAAGTTGTCACCAGAATGACTCGACTGGAATGCCAGGGATTGAGATTAACAGATCCATTTAACTTTGTTAGATTCTAATCGGACCGGCGTTTCCAATTGATTTGGCAGTGTGCCCGTCGCTTCTTTCCCTAAGAATGCCTTGCCACCACAATAGTCTGGTCCCTGGTCCCACATAAAGCGCGCTCTTTTTCGAACTGGACCGGTCACTCTGTGCCAGCTGTAAATATAACAGAATCAATGTAATTTCACATATTCAAAGTATAATATAGTAAAATATATATATACATAAGGGCCACTAGTAAAAAAGGGCTGTGTAAGTAGCACACCAAGCACTGTGTTTTGCCTCTATTTATGTGTGATTGTCCGTATGAGATTAACAGATCCATTTAACTTTGTTAGATTTCAATCGGACCGGCGTTCCCAATTGGTTGGGCAGTGTGCCCGTCGCTTCTTTCCCTTAGAATGCCTTGCCACCTCCGTAGTCTGGTCCCACATTAAGCGCGCTCTTTTTCGAACTGGACCGGTCACTCTTTCCCAGCTGTAAACAAAACAGAATTAATGTAATTTCACATTTTGAAAGTATAATATGGTAAAATATTGTATATATACATATATACATAAAAGCAACTATTAAACAATGGCTGTGTAAGTAGCACACCAAGCACAGCGTTTTGCCTGTATTTATGTGTGGTTGTCTGTATGTGCACTAATGCAAGTACGTGCCGCCTTTAGGAGATTTATTTATCTCTGACGTGCCATCGCCACGGTAATTACATATCTACTCCGGCCGGTGGTTTAACTGCTATTAACGTAGCGTTGATGGTTCGACGGCGAATCACTTGCCAATTGAGCAATCGCACAGCGTCCGAGTTTGGGTCTCCTTTCATTGGAATCCTGAACAGTGGACATGGTCAAAGTAGAAACATTCAAAATGTTATGGGGATAATCTATAAATATAGTAATAAAAATAATTGTTAAGTTTTTGTGATAATTAATCTACGGTTTAAGTAGTTTTGTAATTCTTTATTTATAATGCACTAGTTTAGGAAAATTATGAGAGCCATTTGATTATATGTATATAAACTTTAGAGTCTGATAAAACTAGGTGGAATCCATAATTGGCAAGTGTCATCAACCATAGATGACATTGACGAAATAGGGCTTAGGACAGTAATGTAGATAGTATACGTGACATTTTTAAGAAGGGATTTAAACTTAAAATACCGGAGGCACTTCCCAAAGAATTTAGATAACATTTTTCATACCCAAACAAAATTTAAACAAAAAAATTGTATTGTAAACATATAATACAACGTTTAGCAAAAAAATTATTTTAATAAAGTACTTAGTTTGCAAAGATACATAACAAGTATCACTAGTACAGTAAAGTTAAACATTTATCAAGAAGTCTTTGCGTCGCTCTAAAAAACGGACATTTTCTAATTAATTATGAACGAGTTGACTGACAATTAGCGACAAGGGTTACTCAGCGCGGTTATTCCACTGGAGGAGTCATGGAAACCACAATCAAAACACCGTTTTGTTCATGTTCTAGATCCGCCGCTGGTGATGCAATTTTGCCGGCGCTAACTGTGGCACAGTGGACACTGGCAACAGGTGGATTGGGCGCCGAGTGCGTTGGTCTGCAACGCGACGAAGGCCAAGCTATGTGTTACCGTCGTTATTACTTCTTGTTGGTGGCTTGGCGGCCATTCCAAATTAATGCCGGTAAGGGGTGTGGTAGTTGGTATAAAGAAGGTGGGAGAGATTGGATGGCTGTAAAGTGCGGCGACGGCAAGGTCGCGACGTTTTCTGCTAGTTAACCACATAGACGTATGTCTTTGGGAGTGGAGCACACACGCGTATGGTCGGAAAGCATACAACTGCGGTCAGATTTATAATTTTTGCAATGGTTTCTCAAATTGTATTGCTCTACTGCGGTGTTCCCACAGCTAGATCAGACTTTGAACCTTTTTTATTTTACTAAATAACAATAGTTATTTTTTGTTCTAATTATAAAGGGTAACTGGTAACACAACTCAACTAATCCTAATCTTTAAAAAGAAAAAAGCTTTGCATCTATTTTTGCAATTTACTGATTAAACTAAGGTTTGACGCATTAGAGAGAATTTGAATAGGTAGTTCCCGAATCGAAAAGAATATTGAAAACTAGACGTTGAGATAATCAGAAATTTTGCAGTTTCGACCATTGATTACTGAGTAAACTAAAGAATGACGCATTAGACTGAATATTAATAAGTAGTGGCAGAATTGGAAATTTATATTGGAGACTAGACGTTAAGATAATCCAGTGGGATAATCTGTAATCTTTCAGACCACTTCAGAGTGGATTTGAATAAGTAGAATGAAAATTATATATAAATCCTGCTACCAAGGCGTCAAGATAACACAGTGTAAATATGAGAGTACTTGCGGCTCAGTACTACCATCTTGACCGCCACTGTGCGCACACTTGATAGGGAGGCACAGAGCTTCCAGTTCCAGTCGAGTCCAGCATTGAAGTTGCGCGCCATACGCGGTTGGCAGTTCACGCGCGTCAGACGTGTTTCGCTCTTGCTCTTGCTCTCTCCCTCGCTCTCTCGCCCCCGCGTTTGGTCCATTTATCCCAGCAGACCTGTTGCACGCTCTCTCGTTCCACGCGCTTCCAGTTGTTTTGTTTTTGTTATTGTTATTCCACTGGTGAGAGTGGTGAGTGCGTCGGGGAATTCGCAGATAAACAATGTGCGTCTTCTGCAAAAAACAGCATCTCGAAAACGTTTAGGAATTCGTTTGGGAATATCCATCGACGGATGAGTCAGCCACTTGAAAAATTAATGAAAATAAACTATTAAAGCTTGTGAAAAGAAATAACTGATAACGGGTTTTAGTGCATTGTAAGATAGATAATAAGCGGAAAAACAAACACTTCAACTGCGGACTCAACTTACAGGTGGCAACCCTATAGAGCAGCTCTAAAATTGGTCCACACGCAAAGTGGCGTCGGAAACCTTCTAAGGATATTCGAGCTTAAGCCCAGGTAAAAACGCTAGTTCGCGCTGCAAGTTGCAAATAAAAATAAATTAACTTTAAATTTCCAAAACGAATTTTTAAACAGACAAAATTTGAGAGGACTCAACACACATTCGGTTTCGAATTTTTTGCACAACCGCCGCTTACACACAATGGGTTCCATCAACTGCAAGGAGTACAAAACCACTGGCAGCACCCCCAAGAAAGAAAAATCTTCAGGTAATTACATATATGATTTCCATAGGTTTATCTTTTGAATTGCTAAATTTCAAGTTACAGAAACTTCAGAGTTTTTGCTGTAATCTTGTTTTTTTTTTTTTGAAGTAAAGTTCATTTATACTTTTTATAATGTGCGTCGTTGTTTTTCCTTAGAGAGGGCTTACATTTTTTTTAAGTATTTAATTGCGACGAAACTGAAAGATTAAACCATTTTCTTAAGAACTAATTTGACTAGAGTTATTTGATTACTAAGGTGAATAATAAATAAATATAACAACAAACTTATACTTAAGAGTCTGATTGTATTTTAGATTTCCATGAATTTGAACACATTCACTTTTTGATATATAATATTTAAAGTAAGATTAATTCTTCATGTTTATGAAGTAGTTCCACATTACTACTATCTGAATCCCATCTTTTCCTGACCGTAATTTGAAAAGTGTGTGGTCATGTCGTAGCCGATCCGATATCCAACTTTGCCGTGTTCCTTTTACCAATCGAACAAGGCCAAATGTTTAGAAATTGTGGTTGGGAGAATGGGAATGACCCGCCTTTGGAGGGGGTTTACCGGGTTGGGGGAGGGGCGTTTAGATAATTGTCTCAGCGGCATAAGTCCAAGATTAAGAAAAAGAGAGAGAGAGAGAGAGGCACGGACAGCGGGAGCGCGCAAATCATTTGCTTTACTGCTGCGTCATGGCCACAGCAGTTACCAGTTAATACTTATTGTGATGTAAATCCACATCTTTAAGATACAGTAACTGTATGATATTTCTCTAAATCTGATGAAAGGTATATGGAACAGGCAAGTCAAGTATAATAAAATTAATATCTCAAATTCTAGACTATAAGATACTTATATACAAGTATTACTGAGTTTTAAAATAAAGCACCAAATAAGCAAGAGATCACTTAATACCCGAAAATTTGGGATCTTTGGAACACTCCTTCATAACATACGAAAACAAGGACCATCCTCGTGTGGCGCATTAAAATATATAATTGCCTTCTGGGATTGTTATCAAAAACAGACTTCTGAACATTCCATAAAAAAAACTAGATTTTTGCCTTACATAAATGTATGAATAAGAAACCGAATCCTAAAATCCCAGCTGACAAATGGTTTTTGTAAATTAAAATTGGTTGCGAAATTGGAAAGCAGTTTTAGAGTAACTTACCTTTAGGTCACAATACAGTGTTCTCGCTAATCGATATCCACTGTACGCGCAGCTATTGTTAGTCACCGCTATTGGAATGGTATTTCGCCCATTTTCGCCTTGCTTCTGCCTATTGCCTTCTCCGTTCTCTTGGGCTCTTCGTAGAGCCTCCAGTTCGCTTAAATTGGCGGCTCCGGCGGCAGTCTCCGATTCATTCGCCCGTCAACAGCCGGGGCTCAAGTGTTAGCCAGCTCTTAAAATCAGTTCAAATACTCTCTTAGCTTCGGCCTATCTATTTCGGTGTTACCTGATTTCGTGAGTATAATTACTTTGGCGAAACTTGTTCTCATGCAATTGTTATTATTTTTATTTGGTCTGGCTTTTGACTCACTTGAATTGGACAAGGCCAACCGGTTTTGTTTATGCTTGTCCGAGTGTTTGTGAGAAACCCAACTGTGGTATTAACATGGCATATTATTGCTAATTAGAAACGAGAGTTGAAAGAGGTTAGAAACATACAGTGCAGGGCCGAAGTTTAAGTTCAATTTGTATATTTATAATATGCAGGCAGGCAGTCAAAAACAAATCAGTAAGTTTTCATTTCGAAATATGTAGAATGTAAAAACATGTTCTTTGTTTGTCAATGAGCTGTGAATACGTTATTATAAAATAACAGTTTTTTAAATAACTAATTTTTAAACCATTTTGAAACTTAAGGAATATTCTAGAAAAACCTAAAGTGACTTGTAAAGCATATTAATTTTGGATATATATCGAACTTTAGTCAAGATTGCGTTAGAATTTATAATTAATGGATTAAGTTCTTATTGAATATATAGTTTTGTTGTCATTTCTAAGTTTTTAAATATTTAAAGGGAAATATTGCGAGTTTAAGCATACCTTCTTTTTCACCACGAAAGCATACTTTTTACTTCACTGTATGTGAATTTGGGATGACTTGCTATTCTTGTTGTTTAGTGTCATGTCGAGGTTCCAAATGTTTGAACCACACGAGTATTTTCCCGCTCGACCGTAAAAAGCCCCATCATTGATGCTCAATAATGGTCGTATCAGCGATATCATATGCATACATCATAAAGCCAGTCACTTGAGATAGGGGCATGTAGACATAATAGCCATATCAGAACCGACTAGAATAGAGTGGAACACACGTTTACAGGTGTTTCGCTTATGGTTTATAGATGTTTCCCTCACCGTCTGGCTTTTCAAACTTTTCTTGATGACGTAGCAAGGTTCGGTTTCGTGACATTGAAGTAGGTCGGATGAGTCAATCGATCGGCGCTGGTCGCCTAGATCCGCTTTGTTGTGGCCGGGCAACCATCGATGGTAAAGTAGGCAGCTGCTACCTTCCCTCATCGTTTGTCCAAATGTTTGTTCTGCGAATACAATTTTTGCAATTAAATATCTAGTTCTGAAACGGATTTCTCATTTGAATTGCATTTTTATTTTTAGTTTTAGACCTAAAAGTGTGAGAATTTTAATGATGCCATTTATTTTTTTTTTTTCATTGACTTTATTATAAGCGAATTAAATTTATGTATTTTAAGTGAACCATTATGTTTTGGTCACAAATTATTGGTGAACAACCCACTCGATTGTATTCGATTTTGATTGTACATTATCAGATCTCCCTAATTTATGTGTGTGACTTTATTAAGGTGATATACTAGGTTTTTATCTCTGGCAATATAAATTTATTAATATTGATCCTCTGGGTGTCGAGTATTTTTATCTTTCTTCTTGCTGCTGGATCTGAACAGGTATTTTCTTCATGGTTTTTCATGCATTCTTATATTTCTAATTAACGCCTAATTAATTCAATTTTTTTTTTGAGCCCTTGGTGACCGCCAGAAGCTCCAGTCTGGTGATGGCATCATCAAGGAACCTGCGCTGCTCCTGCAGCTGTGGGAGGAGCTCCTCGGCGCTGAGTGACTTGTGGAGGACGGGCTTCGTTGTTGCCGATCCAGCTGATTTCTCTGATTCGGCCCAACGGCTTCTTAGGCCGGCCACTCCCACGGAAGGCCTAAGCATGTCCAGCACACGTTTAATGATGGAGGGACTGGATCCCTGCTGCTGCTCCTGCTGGTGATTCTGCTGATGGTGGCTATGTTGCTGATCACTGGCCACCACACTGTGCTGCGGAAACTCAGGCATGGTTAGCAAGGGTCCCCAGAGGAAGGATCCCAATCCGGAGGGCGCCGGCGGAGCTATTTCCGCAGAGTGTCCTTCCAGCTGCTTTCCATGGGAGGCAAACTGTCCATCTAGCAGCTCAAGTTGGCGTTTCAAGTCGTCCAGCTTGTGCTGCAGGTGCTCAAAGTCAGCGGTCAGATTGATGGCCAGCCTCTGCGTGGTCTCGCCCTTGGAGATTCCCTCCAGGTTCTCTATTTGCAGACCCAATTGGTGATCTCTCAGCTGCAGGTCGTCAAGCAGAAGTTGAGTCTCCGCTCGAGGCGGTTGCTCAAGAAAAAGCCTGGCAATCTCCGCCTGCAAAAGCTGTTTGTGGGTGCGCAGCGAGCTGAGCTCCAGTTCCTGCAAGCTGCTGAGATGCGAGCGAGCCAGGACCGATCCCAGGATCGTAAGCAGTGCCAGTCCCAGTCCCACAAAGACTTCCGAACGCGAGCGAGGCATTTTCTTGACTGACCTTAGATTTAGAACATTCTACCTGCGCAGCAAGCGGCGCCACTCCACTTTCCCTTGAACCTCTAAAGAAAAACTGGAAAATTTTCATGTGCCACACATCTACACATTAGACCGTTATCTGTATCTGAATCTTCATCGCCGTTTCTCTTTGTTTGTGTCTTTGCATGATGGCCTCGCCAGGTGGTGCCGTGGGTTCTTACCAGTCCAAGTGCAGCACCCAGAGTCCCAGCACAACCATGTCGACGGAAGCCTCTTCGCCGGACTCCGAGTACACCAGTGCGGTGCGCGTGGACTGCAATGTGTCGGACCTGAAGGAGAACGAGATGCGGCAGGTGGACTTCGACGAGGACACCCGCGTGCTGCTGGTCAAGCAAAACGATCGCCTGCTGGCGGTGGGAGCCAAGTGCACCCACTACGGAGCTCCACTCCAGACGGGGGCCTTGGGCTTGGGTCGTGTCCGCTGTCCCTGGCACGGCGCCTGCTTCAATCTGGAGACGGGTGACATCGAGGACTTCCCCGGACTCGATTCCCTGCCATGCTATCGCGTCGAGGTGGGCAACAAGGGTCAGGTGTTGCTCCGGGCCAAGCGATCAGATTTGGTCAACAACAAGCGACTCAAGAACATGGTGCGTCGTAAGCAGGAGGACCAGCGGGTGTACATCGTGGTGGGCGGCGGTCCCTCGGGCGCCGTGGCCGTGGAAACCATCCGCCAGGAGGGCTTCACCGGTCGCCTGATCTTCGTGTGCCGCGAAGACTATTTGCCCTACGATCGCGTCAAGATTTCCAAGTCCATGAGCCTGGAGATTGAGCAGCTGCGATTCCGCGACGAGGACTTCTACAAGGAGTACGACATCGAGCTGTGGCTGGGCGTGTCCGCCAACAAACTGGACACGGCCCAGAAGGAGCTGCACTGCAGCAATGGCTATGTGGTGAAGTACGACAAGATCTACCTGGCCACCGGTTGCTCCGCATTCCGGCCGCCCATTCCGGGCGTCGAGTTGGAGAACGTGCGCACCGTTCGCGAGCTGGCGGACACCAAGGCCATACTGGCCTCGATCACGCCCGAGTCGCGCGTCGTCTGTCTGGGCTCCAGCTTCATCGCCCTGGAGGCGGCAGCCGGGCTGGTCTCCAAGGTGCAAAGCGTCACGGTGGTGGGTCGCGAGAATGTCCCGCTGAAGGCCGCCTTCGGGGCGGAGATTGGCCAGCGAGTGCTGCAGCTCTTCGAGGACAACAAGGTGGTGATGCGCATGGAGAGCGGCATCTCACAGATCCTGGGCAACGAGGAGGGCAGGGTGACTGAGGTGGAGCTGGTGGACGGCACACGTCTGCCCTGTGATCTGCTCATCCTGGGCACTGGCTCCAAGCTTAACACCCAGTTCCTGGCCAAGTCGGGCGTGAAGGTCAACCGCAACGGCTCCGTGGACGTCACAGACTTTCTGGAGTCCAATGTGCCCGATGTGTATGTCGGCGGCGACATTGCCAATGCCCACATCCACGGGCTGGCCCACGATCGCGTGAACATCGGCCACTACCAGCTGGCCCAATATCATGGACGAGTGGCGGCCATCAACATGTGCGGCGGCGTCAAGAAGCTGGAGGCTGTGCCCTTCTTCTTCACCCTGATCTTCGGCAAGGGCATCCGGTATGCCGGACACGGATCCTACAAAGACGTCATCATCGACGGCAGCATGGAGGACTTCAAGTTCGTGGCCTACTTCATCAACGAGGCGGACACGGTGACGGCGGTGGCATCGTGCGGCCGGGATCCCATTGTGGCCCAGTTTGCGGAGCTCATCTCGCAGGGCAAATGCCTGGGGCGTGGCCAGATTGCCGATCCCGCCACTCGGGAGGACTGGACCAAGAAGCTCGGCGAACCCCTGCCCCAAGTTCGCTAAATAATCAACTTTTTGTGTATTATCTCTGAGATTTGTTGTTATATTTGTCTTGCAATCGTTGAGTATTCACCATAAACATTTACTCGTATGCAAAGCACTTGGGATGTGTAGTGTAACCTATCTGTGTATATCTATAATTGTAGTTCGTACGGGGGAGCTTCCTTGAGTTCCTGCCGCGGATGCCACTTTTGGCTCCGAAGAGATCGAAGATGTAAGCTTTTTATTCCCTTGCCCTTGCCACACAATGTATTTTTTTTGAGTCATATTGGATTATTTTTGCTAAATAAAGTGTTTTAACGATTCCCGTTTAAACTATGCATTTTTGTAAATTCGTCTTTGGTGACTTCGGTGTTAACGCATCTCTCTGGACATAGACGTAATTAACTAGATTTTTTTTTATATCTAGTTCTATTTGAGATTGTTGAAATGAAAAAAGTAACCTTGATTAACCTGTTAAAAAATGTTGACTGGGTTTATCACACTTGATGCTAAACAGCTCTCAAACTGCTCTTATATATTCTGGTTTTACTCAGCATAACTGAAATATTCGCTTTGAAAGTCGAAATTACAAGTTTTAAACGCACAACCCAATCGATCAATAATGGCCTCTCCATGTCGAAATCCTCAGCGATCCCTGCAATCGTGGCGCCTGCTGACCGAAAGCCTTAAGTTGTTTACCTTAAAGCTGGACAGGAATCAGCACTTGGTACGGTTTAAGGTATGTGGCCACCATTGGTTTGGAGTGTTACTTACCAATTTGCTGGCGGGCAGCTTCCGGGTCATCGGCTGCTCAGCTTGGAAGAGCGACGAAACTTAAACGATTCGCTGGGCCAGTGCATCGCCGGCGTCTCCTTGATTGCCAATGTGGTGCGGAGTTGTCATCTGCGCCTGGACGTCGACCGAATGCTGCTGCTCGTGGAGCACGGACAACTGGATGGGCAGCTTAAGATCCGCGAGGAGCGACTCCGGGTGACGCAATGCGAGCTGGGATGCAAGCGACAGGAGCTCTTCCACCAAATGACCGCCTCGGCCAGGATGATCCAGAAAGTGGCGATGGCCAAGGAGCGCAACCAGGAGTTGGAGCTGCGAAACCGCCAGCTGGAAGATCAGGTTAGGAATAGGGTTTATTTTATAGTTCTTAGCAGTGAAGTATACATTTCCGGCCCTATTTGTTAGTAACTTCTATTCTCACCTCAGACGCTGGACAGATCGGAGCTCTTCGAGTCGCGGTGTGTGATGCTGTGCGGCCGGGCCTTTGACCTCAGTCAAGAGCTGATTCAGACAAGGATGCGGATCAACGAGTTTGAGAACGCCTGCACGCAGTTGCGAAGGTTGGTGATTCGTTGGTGGTGCCCGTGCCCACTCATCTTATCCAATTCCACCTCCTTTGGCAGGCGCATCATGGAGCTGAAGCTGCGACGCGTCCAACGGAGACGACTGCTCGGCGAGCTGGTGCTGCGACTGCGACTGGCCCAGGAGCAACAGGTGCCCCCCATCCTATGGCGGCTCTGGCACTGCCTGCGATTCCTGTGGAACTGTGTGGAGTGTCTGGGCCATCCCACCGGCAAGTTGGGTGCCATCAATTGCTTCATGGCGGGCTTTTAATACCTCGCGATTTGTCTTCACGCGCCCTGATGGCCAACAGTGTGACCAGCTACCCAGCAGATTTTGTATTTTTAACAGTGTTCGTTAACGTCTTGTTTATGATTGAAATAAAATACCAATGAAAAAAGGCACCAGAAATCCATGGCCAAGTGCATATTCAAGTGATTGGATTGTGGTGCAGATTCCGGATTTGTTTCTTGTTCGTGCACGTGCAAATAGCTAATAAATGCGTCGTGCCTGAGCCGAGCCGAGCTGAGCTGAGTGGAGTGGAGCGGAACCGGACCGGTGGACAGCCGACAGCTGACAGGCCATGGATCAATTTTCGCACGACCTGACGCTGGCTCTCGAGGAGACCTCCCTGATGGATAGGGCGAGTGGCGTCGGAAGGTGGGGCTCGCGTCGCCGGACACGTTCCACGGGCAATCTGCGTAAGTAGCAACAGATCGGAACAGATCACCCCTGAACCCGAACCCGAACCTGACCCCGATCCCGGTAATTCTTCTGCTGTGTGCTTAGCTTGCGCCCCCCAGCCCACGGAGGACTCCTCGAGCAGTCCCACGGACACGCTGAATGCCCTGGGCCACCATGGGCACCATGGACATGCACATCACCCCCATAGCCACACCCATCCCCACCCCAATGCCAACGTGGACGGGCTGGACACACACAACCTCAAGTTGCCGGCCAGCGACTCGGACGAGAAGGCCCCGTTGACCTTGCCCGGAAGGATGGGCGCCCTGGAGTCGGACTCGCTGAACGAGACCACCTTCAGTCCAGCCAGGTAGGGCGCGCCCCCAATTGAGCACCTCGTTTGGTCCTAACAACCCACCAACAACAATCAACAGATTCTACAAGCCCAACTCGCGCAGGAAGCGCAAGATCAAGCGTATGTCCATGGAGTTCGAGTTCAGCAAGGACACGCCTTCACCGCACACCTTCGCCGAGTCGCCGCTGCAGCCAGGTCTCCTGAGCGGTGGCACCACCGCCACCGGAACCATTCGCAAACGCCTGCTGAAGATGGACGCCACTGGGCACCACCGGTCGCATCTGTTCTTCTGCGGCAAACGCAAGCGCTCCAACCGCGATCGCTACCACGAGCAGGAGACGGCCAAGCTGTACGCCTCCTCGCCACACTGGCAGTTGGAGGAGCAGCATCTGCAACAGCAGCACAGCCACAGCCACAGCCACAATCATCACCAGCAACAGCGGATGCGCCAGCGGAGCTACTCCTCCACTTCGAAGCCACTCAGCGATCGCCTGCTGCCACTGAACAAGGGACTGCTCTGGAAGATCAACCGCATGGCTGCCCAGGGACAGCAGGCCGTGCCGCCCACCCAAAAGACTGACAACCACAAGGACAAGGACTTGAAGAAGGGCCACCACCAGCCAGAGATGGCGGAGGAGCTGCCCAAGCAGAAGGTCGTGGCCAAGAAGGCGCCGCCGCCGCCAAGCGCTGAGGCTGCCTCCGCCATCGCCATCGGCAACCGGAACTCCTTCAGTATGGACACCATAGTGCCTGTGACCGATATCGATGCCTTGCTGCTGAGCACGCCACCAACTGCTCCGATGCTGCGCAAGAAGACGCCTCAGGTGTCCGGCTACAACAGCAGCAGCTCCACCAAGACGACGCACCGCCGTCGCCGCTTTAACACGCTTCCACAGCCGCCGCTGCAGTTGCAGTCCCAAGCCGCCCAGTCCATGGACTGTAGCGAGCTCTACGATTTCCTCAGCTCCAGTTCGCTGAGCTCCTCCTCGGACAGCGAGGCCGAGGTGGGCGGACATCGCCGGCACGACACCGATCGCGAGGGCGACGACGAGCTGACCGATTGGCCGGGCAACGAGTTCGGACCCGGAGCCAGGTACGATCCCAAGAGGAAGCTCACCAAGAAGTCACTACTGCCTCAAATTCGGTCGGATGACACCATTGGCGAGGATGACACCCTGATGTCGGGCAACGAGGCGGGGGCGGTGGCGGTGGCAATGGAACCGCAACCGAAGAGTCCAGCCCACCAGCTGCCGGAATCTCTGCAGGATTTGTCCCGCTTTCAGCCAGGCGTCTCCGAGCCCATTGAGATTTTAAACGCCAGCTCGGAGATGGAGACGAATGCGGACGGCACCACCATGCCCCATGCTCCCCGGCAAATCGAGAGCGAGATGTCCGGCGAGACCTCGAATCCGTTTCTATCCTCGTCGCCGCCAGGACAGGGTCCTGTTTCTGGGCAGGAGGTGCGCGAGATACGCGCTGGGTGTCGCCGCATCAACGGCGAGCGACCCGGATTCAGCATCAAGATGAGCGTGAACGAGCGCATCGCCCGGTTCCTGCAGGACCCGCAACAGACACAGATCCGGCTGCCAGATATCGAGCTGTACGAGCCCGACAGCATGTGCAATCTGGCCACGCTCTACTCCCTGACCATGGTGGTGGAGCGCGGCTGCACGGTGCTTACTAAAACCAGGTGAGTACGAATGGGAATGGGATTTTCAAATGAGAAGCTAGACATCTAAATTGTTCACTCGTTGCAGGAACACTACGCAGGTAGTGAGCGTGGATCATCCCCACCATCAGGGTCTTCAGCCGCGTCCCGATCTTTTCGGCGATTTCAAGCGACGCTGCTATGGGGAGGAGGAGCAGCAGCAGCAGCAGCAGCAGCAGCAGCAGCAGCTTCAGATCCATTTCCAGCAGGATCCCGGGACTCAGACTCAGCCCCAGAAATGAGAAACGTTAATCAAAACTAGACGAACTAGACCAATCCCCAGCAAATGCAGATGCGGAGCCGGAGCCATCAGCACTCGGAGTAAAACTCCTGATCTGATCCTGACCGTGATCCGCGAGCATCGCTGGGGTGGAAAAAACCAGTAAACCGTAAACTAAGAATGCTTTTAGCTTGTTTTTGTGAAATCTGTTCTATGTACATAAGTTGCATCGGTCCGTGTATATACTAACTTCATTTGGGGAAGGCGTCAGCCCTTCGGATCCCAGATCGCGTCGGTCCCTCTTCCTTGTCGCACACACTTGGTAGCAAGCGAGATGGCACGTTCCAGAAAGAGGGAGAAAGAAGACCGACCGGAAGCCGTTGACAGCCGTTCCACTGTACAAAATATAATTTGTAAGACCTCCAGCGAATATGAATATAAGAAATATAAATGTGTGGTCATAACCGAATCGATTCGTTTAGGAACTCAATGGGATATTTCGGGGATATATATAAGTGTACCGTACATTATCGCTGATTGCAAGAATTCAAGTTCAAGTTTTCAACTCAGGGCTGGTTAGTACAAAAGTGAAAAATATTGTTTTAGAATTTTATTTCAAAATTCCATGTCGGTAATGCAATCAGTTTGAAAAACATGCAACAAATTTCGTTTTAAAATACAGCGGTTATAAAAATGATGCCTGTTGGACCATTACAATTTGTAGAGGAATTTATAATTTCCATTACAAGTTTGCAAAGCATTAAAGGAGACATTTCCGACCCTATGAAGTATATACTATATTTTGTTGATCTGCATTGCGAGGAAAGTTGATCTGGTCATGTCCGTCAGTCCGTCCATTTCTACGCAAACAAGTCTCTTGGCTTAAAAGCTATCTGGATAAAACATTCCCAAAAGTCTGCTTTGTAAATAGCAATTGTAAGTCGTAAATAGGTCCGAACAATCGGAAAACTAAATGAAAAAATGTTACTTCGTTGTTTTTTTTTTATACTGATGGTTTTCTATTTTTAAATTATGGTTTTAGTTTACTTAAAATTGGACAGCCATAGGAACGAAAATTTATAGGAACATTGTCGCAACTAAAGCCGAATTTAAGTTGCAAGGGCATTTAAATATACATCGGCAACAACTTACCAACAAATGGCGGGAAATTCAAATGTGTTGGCTGCTGGTTGGAATTCTCAACCCCGCGGAAAAAGTTGGCGCATGCCCAGTGGGCAATTGTGGTGCTCGGCTGATGGGCTGCTCGGCAACCCTTTTTCCCACTGGCTGCCACTGCCACTGCCACCAATTGGCGATGGGAGCTCGGAGCTCTGTTCGGCATTCGGTACTTGGCACTGGCCACTTGGCACTCACTTGGCAACCCTCGCTGCTCTGCTGGGGGTAAGGAAAGGGGGCGGGGGTGGGGGGTGGTGGTTACGAGCGCCGAGCTTGCGTCAAATGCGGACGCCAGTTGGACGCAGCTCGGGATTGGAGGCAGCCACGTTTCCCAGTCATCCGCCGTTCCGCCGTGTGTGTCGCAGCGCCTCTGTCTGTGTGTGCCGTGCCGTTCCGTGCCGCATGTGTGGCGTTCCGCGAACGGAAGGGATGTGGATGTGAAGCGGATCTTCGCCAGCGTTCTCATCCTCTCATCGCCACTAACCGGACGTCCGGCGGCGTCAGCTCCAGCTTGGAGTTCCAAGCTCCTAATCCTGCTCTTGCTTCTGCCCGAAACTTCTTTGTCAACCGGCGACGCTTGTGTTTTCCACGCTTGCTCATCGAACGGTAATTCGGGAGAGCGGTTTCGCAGAGAGCGGTTTCTTCGTCGGCAGGATGCACTGCATCCTGCAGTGTACACCAGCGGTGGCGTTTAGTGGCATTTACGCGATTTCAGTAGCTTCCGTGATTTCCGCAATGCGATGCTATGCGATGCGGCTGCTCTGCTTATTGATTTTTCACCAACACTCACGCAAACACACACTTGCGCACGTTGGCACCCACACCTCAGCACCCACACACACAAGGGCAGTGCTGGCACTACGGCCATTTTGTGGCTGGAAAATAGCCATCTTAATAGCGGAAGTGCAGCAGCAAAATTTGTGTGGCATACTTTTAGGCAGCTTAATGTGTGATTTAAAAACTCTTTGGTCTTTTGTGTTATATGAGTTTATTTAGGATAAACATGTGTGTTTTGTTAAATATTAATACCAAGTGATCTTAACAAGACAAGACTTTTCGCCAGTGAAAATTACTGGATTTTGACTTTTTCACGATTTTATCTCTTGAATTGTAACAACACTGCCGCTGAAGAGAGCGAGAATGTGAACACCCACACACACAAACAGCGGCTTTGCTGGCTTGTAACGTCCGAAAGCCATACACATACACACTCAGATAGCTGAGCTAATCTCTTATCAAGCGACGACTTTCCCCACCCCCT